ACCAAGAAAAGACAACCAACTTGAAGGAATATTCTGACAGAACGCCTAAGGCTGAAGAATGCAACCTGATGGCTGGGGACAAAGTTCTGTTAAAGCAACCTCGAGAAAACAAGTGGACCACCCAATTTGAGAGTCAGCCATACGACCTAACTGACAAGTCGCCTGAGAGAGCCCAGTATAAAAGAAATACATCTCATGTCAAGTTGTACCATGAAAGAGAGAAAACAGAGGGTCCAGAGAAATCAGCAACTCAAGAGGTGGATGTTGGGGACGTTGCAAGTGATCCGGGAGAAATGCAACAGAGTCAGAAGGATGAAATCAAGCAGAGGGACATCACACCTGTGAAGTCCCGACCACTGCGGACAAGATGTGCACCAAAAAGATTTGAGGACTTTGTTCCAGAATGAACATTTATTATTGAAAGTTAATTGTAGTGTGATCATCGGATGTCAGGATGATTCTTTGAGACCTTTCACGTGTCGTTTAAGTTTACTATGTTGTAGTTGTCTTCTTGTTCTATAAAGAAGGAAAGAGTTGTAGGATGTTTCGTGTAAGTCTACATGAAAGAGCGCAGATTTATAGTTCATGTTGTCCTACATCATGCAGCGGGCGCCTAAAAGTGGGTAGGCATTTTGGATTATTAAATTCGTTTCGTTGTGGTTTATCCGTGTCTATCGAGTCGTGTCTTCCTCGAGAATTCTACAGTTTTTCAAAATTCTGCGAAGCTCTCTTGAACTCAGTCCTGTTACGTTTTCCAAAGTCAATAGTTTGGGTGTACTAAGTATTCCAAAAAACATTTGGTTGACCGAAGTAGACTGTAAGTGAAATCAAACGGAGCAAACGTTTTGATATCGAATAGGTGTTGGGAAATTTGAAAAAAAAATATTTCTCAATGCATTGCCGAGAAAAAAAAAACTCTGTTGCTGTATAATTTTAAACGAGATATATTTGAAATTTCTCATGTTAGGCTGGTGTAGCGGTCTCGCCTTTCAGAGCAGCATTCTGCACCATTATTAGCATTTACTGCACCTAAATTTTTACACTCTGACGTATGACTGATGTAAACACGTCAACACATGCGCTAAATCAGTCCGTTACTGTACGGAAAGCATTCCAACCAAAACCAGTTAGAATTTTGAGTGACTACTTTGTGGTTACGTAGTTTAAATTGCTGAAGACTAAAATTTAACTTCTCCAAAGGATAACATGACTAGGCTGGTGAGCTTTGCGAAGAGGGTCGAATCATGTTCACAAGCCATCGGAAAACCAAAATATTAAATCGTGACGTCTTCAAGGTTTCATTTTCACACATGATCATGATCAAGAGTTGGCAGCAAACGTCGTCGTGGGGTTAAAATTTTCACTATTGTCAGCTTCTATTGACGTTTTCTCCTCATATTTTTATGTTGCTCTTATGCGATGGGACCAGCGAGTTAGCAAGATAAAGGGAATCTTGTGCCCTGATCGGCTACCCAAAAAGGAAATATCAAACTTTGCTCTCCCGTGATTCCCTACTTTGATCCCGGAGAATGGTTATTTTAGGAAGTTTAATACTTCATACTTTCAGAGCAAGTCAATTCTTTTTTGCATTTGGTTCATGTTGTACAGGTTTTCTGGCAGTTCTGGCTACAACAGAATCACCGAGATCTCTTTTATGTCGGTCAAAACAAAGAAAACTACGACGAGTCTCGCGGATTCATCTGGTCAGTCTTTGTGTCTTAATCCTCATTTTTTTGTTATTGTCATAGCGTTTGTTGTCACGCTTAATTTCGTTTTCTAGAAATGTTGGCTGGTTTAGCTATAAACTGACAACAGGTTATCCACTCTGTTGAGGAGATTGCATCGTACGCGGACTTTTCAGCTGTAAACCAATTGAGAGAAACCTAGGAATTTATAAGCGATACATACGTGGCATAGTCTTGAAGCGGTTCACAATAAAGCAGGAATATGAATAAGATAAAATAGAAATATTGATTCTCCGGTTTTTTTAAATGTCACAACCTTTAAACTGCTGTCAAAAATTACATATTGAAAACTAAATGTACCCGTCAACTGTCATCCTCTGAATCCGTTTATTCCCCAAAAGATGCCATTTTTCAGTTGTAAATACCTTAAAATATCAATAATATTATTTTGCTTTACTATTTCGATATAAACGTCAAATATTTCGTATGTACGATGAAAGATTTAACCCAAGTAATTTCCAGTTTTGTTATCAAAATTGCTCTGCCATTTATCAAAAGTTATCTTAAACATTCATTTGTTGTTTTTTGTTAGTTTGTTTCCTTTAAGGTTATTTTTTGCATTTTTCTGTATTACGATGTAGTCATCCTGCGATTTAGACTCAGTTATTTTCCTTTCGGCGGAGAACATCCGCAAAATCCTGATTCTCCTCACAGCAGGACACTCTCCGCCATATAAAACTGAGTCGAAAAGAGTGAAGTCAACCCGTGAGTTTTATTATTGTAGCAAGAGGACATGTTCTATTGATTGCACAGATTTGTTCGAAAACATTATTGTGGCGAAGAAGTGACATCGAATCAAACTGCTCTACTACTTAGCCCACAAAATCCAAAGATAGGGTTAATGCTTCCCTTGCTGTTTTCTTATGAATTTCCTCACAATTTATTGGGGAGAATATGGTGTTCAATTGACAAAATATTCTCTTTTTCTCGGTTCTCTATGATACTCGTAATAAATTGTTGGACTTACATCATTACTTTTAGGAAATGTTCCATTTTAAGCTCTTGTGGGGGTTGTAAACCTGTGCATAAAATAAAAATCTTTCCCGTTATCTTTCCATGAAAAGTGTTGGGCTTTCCTCAAATTTTCACTTTTCCGCTTTCACCTTGACAGCCCCATGAAACTTCTAAAAATAATAACGGTGAACTTATTTCGCGTAAATGACGTGCGCCAATTCTGCTCTGAAGATGTTTGCGGTGAAACGTACAGATGTTACGGGAAAACTCGATGGTGTTATAGATCTCATCCTTAGACAATTATTTTGGAATCAACAAAGCTGTTTTTTTTTTTCTTCCACTAATGCAGAGGACGTGAAGATGGAAGATTATAAACGGGGAACTTTATTTCTTAAGTTTACATTGATCATTAGTTTTCTCTCATTAGAATGAAAATTTGTATAGGTAATCACATGATTTCGAGTGCAATTTGGAATAAATAAGCACGAGTAAATTGTTTTTCAAAGACTGACAAAATTGCATCCTCACTTTGGGAAAATAAGTAACATGAATTGATCACCGTCGGGTTATATTTAGAACTGGATGGAAATGCCATCAAGGTAGCAGTTATTTGCGTAATATTTTCTGTGGAAAACCGTTGCAACAACCTACATTAGCTTTCCTCACCTGAAGAATGCTTGCAATAAAACTCCGAAACGCTCTTTTTCAAGAAGGATACGTGGCTTTTCGCCGAAACTACAAGAAAACAGATTCAAAGTGTTACGCGTTTAATGAAGAAAAATGTTGGTAGTTCACACCGCGGATAAAATTCGTGCACTTCTTAAAGAAATATTAGATGCAGACATTCAGGTCGTTGCAGAAACATCTCTTTTTGGAGAAACACTTAGAGTATTTAAAAAATCTTTTAAGAAAAATGTTACTGAACCAGATTTCTGCAAGCTGGGACAGTGTAAGAGAAATCTGAGTCTCTCTTAAGGGTTTTAATTAGAGCCACAGTTTTTTCCAAATTCTGCGTTCAATCGCTGTAAGGGAGCCCATATACTAGGATTCGCATGAGACAAGCGCCGGTCGTAATACTGGAATCAACCATATTGTAGTTTCATAGATCCTTCACAGGCAGATAAATCAGATACCTCAAGGTCTATTATTTATATCCAAAGTCAGCATTGTGAACATTTTTCTGTTGTTTAATCTGATAATAGAAGAAAGAGACCAAATAGTTTGCTTGTTCTTTGATCGAATTAAGAACAGTTTGGTTCATTTGTCACGATTATATAATAAACAATAAATCTGAGTTCCTTTGAGGATTCAATCTCTAAACCTGCAGATCTCCTCTTCTGAATTTCTTCATTCGACGAAGGAGCTCGAAACTTACTCTCTTTCTTTATGCAGACATAACGCTTTCGACATTGACTCGTGTTTCATATGAACCCGCTGCATGTCTCATTAAAGAGTGTTCTGTGGATCTATGGTAGAGCTTCACATCGTAAAATCCGACGTTCAGAGATCCGAATCTTCAAGGAAAACTCAATATGTCTCTTTGCTTTCCAACAAATAGCAATTTGGCGCGTTGAATAATAAATAACTTATTAGACGTTTTGTTGTATAGTCAGTCGCCGAGTATTTTTTACTCGTTATTTTTTGCTCGTTATTTGAGCCCTACAGGCTCGTCAAAATACGGCACAACTTGTAAAAATACTCAGCAATACTTCACAACAAAATGTCTGATAAGATATATTTGTTATTCAGCTACACTCCGTATATCACGCTGTATTTGTACTCCAGAGAACCGGTTAGACGGATTTTCTCGTATCGCGCAAGCGAAGAATGGGATTGAAGTTACGAAAAAAAAAATGGCTTGCAAATATAGGTCCAAGTTTATAAGATGAATCGAACGAAGAAAAATAGCTAGATTACCAGGAAATTTCTTCATTCATTGAAGAAAATAGAAACAGCAACACAACAACGCGGTAATTCCGTTCCGCTTCTCAAACCTGTGTCACGCACTCCCCGTAAATGAATATCCGCGAAATTCGCCCGCACTGAAATAACACTTTGGCGTGTTGGATAATAAATAACTTATTAGACGTTTTGTTTTGTAGTATCGCTGAGTAGTTTTACTCGTTATTTGTAATTTGACTCGGCCTACGTGCTCGTCAAAATACGCTTATATGACGAATAAACATAATATTTTTCTGATGTTTTCGTCTTCTATCTAACTTTTTTCTAGCTATATATTTAATCACTACCCGTTTAACATTGTATGTCTCTTATATCCTAACTAACTAATTCAGTTCTCACCTTAACTCTTGTGAAAATGTGATTATTCCCGCAAGTGTGTAACAAGATGGTTCACTCGGTAACACGAGCAGTTTTGATGAAGCTGAATACTATTATAAGCGTGACAAAGTCGGCAGAAACCGAAAATTAGGAACTGCTTCTTTCGACTCATTCGTGAGTCATGAGTTTATTCTGTGGCTATGCCATTTCACTATTTATTTGCCAACTTGGACTCGGACGTCATATTTCAGCCTTTCATTTTCATAAATCTGAAGTATGGCACAACTATGTTAATCTTCATCCTTTTCAATTTAATCTTTTTCGCTAGTGTGGCTGGTCGTTAAGAATCATGTTTTTCCGAAGGCATTTCGAAGCGGCCGATTATCTCCCATCACTTACGAATCGGAAAAGGATCATAAGACCTGCTGCAGTGCAGGGGAAAAAGGCCGATTTAGGGTTTAGAAGTTCCCGAGTCTATCCTCTGTTGTTCCAACCGCGCGGCTTTTCGTTGTGAATAGACTGGTCACAACTTACTTAGGCACCTGGCCTTCAAAACAAGATGGCCCCTATGAAGTAGTCGTCTTGATTCAGATAATTCATAAATTATTGTTCAAGGATTTGATTTTTGTGAAAATCGAGAGGACTCAACACCTAAAATAGGTCAAGAATTGTTGCTCTTAAGGGATATACTGGCTAACTGCCCTGTATTTTGCCTTCAATTTTCGATAATACTATGTCTTATTCTGTTTTTCATGGGATATCTCGCTTACTTGGAAGATCATCGCAACTCGTAGGATCACTTTTATCTAAATCTGTTCGGGCTAAACCACTATCAAATTTTCCTAACTTTAAAGTTATTGACGGCAATGTTGATAGAAATAGTCCAGCGTTTTTGTCAAAGCAAACTCAACAAACTGAGATTCTCAAATCGTTTGAGGAATATACGAACATGGCGTTGCTTGGTGGTGGTGAAAAAGCCATTGAACGGCACACGAAGAGGAACAAAAAGCTGTTAGTTCGAGAGAGACTCAGTAAACTGTTGGATGACGGAACTGACTTGCTAGAGTTCTCCCAATTTGCTGGACTTGATCTTGAGTATGGTAACGTGCCCTGCGCCGGGGTAGTTACAGGGATTGGACAGATTGCAGGACAGTTGTGTGTTATTATTGCCAATGATGCAACAGTGAAAGGTGGAACTATTTATCCTATTGCAGTTAAGAAGCAACTCAGGGCTCAAGAGATAGCAGAAGTGAACAAGCTTCCTTGTATTTTTCTTATAGATTCAGGAGGAGCATTTCTTCCATTACAGGTAATTAACCAAGAACTTGTTTAGTTGATGATCATTTCCTTTATTCTCCTGACTTTGATGTCTGATCCAGGGGTGATTTTGAAAGGAGAAACTAGATGAAACTCACTTGTTGTCTATTCGCTGATAGACAGTGAATACATTGAATGCATGTTATATGATGATGTGCTGTGGTGAACAAAAATAAACAAAAAAAATGAGCCTGTGTTGTTGTTAAGTTTGATCAGTAGATTTACATGCATGCTACAACAATTACATCATTTCCCTTCAATTTCTTTTGTTATAACTACTTGTATCATTGTTGAATATGAAAGCAATCTTCACAGTAGTGATTAATAATTATTTATAATTAATAATTATTATTACCACTACTACTATCATTATAGTTGTTATTAATAGTCTTTTATTTTGTAATTATTATCAATGCTACCTGAGCTAGTTTATTATTGCAGCGGTAATATTGTAATAACAGTTTTAAATAGCTTGTAATCAGTATTTAATTTGTGATTTCACCCACTGTGATATTAGCATTGTTAGTTGTTAGGTTTTCATTAGGTATTAATTGGAATACTTGTAAACTAGCTCTTAAGCTAAGCATATTTCCAAGTTAAATAAAGTTTGTATGTATGTGTATATATATGTGTGTATGTATGTATTATCTTTAAGCCCATGTTTATTAACTCGATAGGTTTTAGGCGAGAAAAAGTTTCCATAGGTTACCTACTGTTCTGACACCACCCAACAAGTTGTTATTCAGCATTCAAAACTTTTCCTAAGATTTATTTTCTGAAAGTCATTATTATTGCTGTTACTATTGTTATTATTATTATTATTATTATTGTTATTATTATTGTTATTATTATTGTTATTATTATTATACCCTAATTTTGATATCATCACAATTGGATTGTTTTGTTCAGTGTCAGCGATTGTAAATGTTAAAACTTGCTGGTCTTTCTACAGGCTGACATATTTCCAGAAACTGGTGGGCGGGTGTTTTATAATGAGGCTGTGATGTCAATGAATGCTGTTCCAACTGTAAGTTATTATCATTATTATTAAATTATTGTGATTATATTTTAGGATTAGTAATTTTATCTCTTGAACAATAGGGTTAGTAATTTTATCTCTTGAACAATAAAGACGCATTGTTATTTTAGCATCGACAATAATAATATTGATGATGATGAAAAGGATTAGATTGTAAATAGGATTTTAATTGAAATCAGAACTACTATTAGGTCGTTTTTACTTTTAACTTGTAAATAGTTATTTGCTTTGAGTGTTAATAAAGTTTGATATTATTATTATTATTATTATTATCATTATTATTACTATCATTGTTATTACATCTCATGATTTTCATAAACAGGTGCCTCAATCCTTAAACTCCCAAGATCTGATTGTAAATTCTCCCCTCTATCTGCCGCACATTTTCTTGTTAATTAGTTATAAGAATTTGGTGATAAATCAAGAAAACAACTTTTACCTGATAAGTTTGATTATTACCTGTTTGCCTGATAATGTAGGGATATTACAAGGAGATGTTACATGTTAGCAAACTATGGTACAGTAATCTCTTGTTGTGTAGACTAATAAAATCCAGATCAGACCAGTACCTTGCTCACTGTGACATGTATTTTACAGATTTGTGTGGTGTGTGGATCGTGTACTGCCGGTGCTGCATATGTACCCACAATGGCTGATGAAGCTGTTATTGTAGATAAAATTGGTACAATCTTCCTAGGTGGCCCTCCTTTGGTTAAGGTAGGATATCATAAATGAGTTTTTGGGCATATAAACTGGTAAGATGTTTGCTGACATTCTTGATTTGATCTTATTCTGAATCAAAGACTTGTCTTGTTCTAGGCTGCCACCGGGGAAGTTGTCAGTGCAGAGGAACTAGGCGGAGCTTTGATGCACTCCAGGTTTGTATAATTGAGAAATAGATTCCTTGTTCCTTAGTACCTGTTTAGTAGAACAAAAAAGTTGCACATATGGCACAGCAGTGTTTGTCCATGATGTTTTTACTACATTTTTAGGTCTTCTGCGACCAGTTATTGTACAGGCCCAAAGCCACATAAAATCTATTTGTGTTATATAATAACATAGCAAAGAATTGTTAATTTTGACAAGAATCATGCATCTGTCCACCAAGAGATGATTAGTTGGAGCCAATCAAAATGCTTGTAGAAATTCAGTGTAACCTCTTGTATGAATTTGAGTTGAATCAGTATTCATATATTCAGGGTTTTCATTACATCTGGGACCCAAGTATTAGTTTTCATTAACCATCACTTGAGATTTAAAGGAGATTGCTTCAAGATTCATCTGTTGTTGTTTATTTGTTTGTTTGTTCTTCTTTGTTGCATAGAAACGCTTTCTCTGAAGAACCTTTTTCTAACCAGTAAATGGTTGTTATAGACAGCTTTGTTATTTCTTAGTCATATTCTGATGCTTTTTGATTGTGGAGGGAAAGTTTAGGCTTGAGATCAATATCTTGGTTGCTAAGAGAAAGGGGGGGGGTCGTTCTGATCCTGTTTCACGCACGAATTTAGGAAAATGCATGTGCCTTGTATATGAAAGAGAAAACTTCAAATCTCTCTTCTTGTGTACAAGGTTTCAGTGAAACTTGAAGTCTTCCTGAAATCAAAGGACAAATCACAGGTTAAGTATATTTCGGGAGGCGTCAGGCTTCGCGCTGGTTCATAAATTCACGAATCACGCTTGCTTTTTTGTAAAATTAACGCGTCACATATGGTCTTAATCACGCATCACGTATAAACACTTTGCCACTCTCTGATATACTTTTACTTTAAGAGTATTACAGTAAAGAAGTAAACATTTTATTTTTACTCTTTTTTTTTTTTGTTTTTTGTTTTCGTTTTCTTTTTTTTGTTACTTATTACAACGTGGAACGTGTATTAAACATGGATTTACGCGTTTTCCCCTGGCTCCCCTTCTGGGTTGGGTTCTGTTCCCAAAGTTGTTCTATTGCTATTGATGTTGAGGGCTTTTTTTAATCTGTTAGTCTGTTAAATCAGAGAATAGCCTGCAATGCAGGCGTCTTAGCGAGTTAACGCTGAGAAGCTCGTCATCGTTCATTCGACCGGTCGTATTTGACTTGGAATTACAGTCGAAGGTGGGGATAGGGGCGGGGATAGGCGAAAGGAAGCGTAATATCTATCACCATACCCTCTCCGCTCTCCTTCTTTTTGACCGTCGCTCACCCCCTAGTACAAATTTCTTTCTCTTCCCAGCCTTCCGCTGCTGTAAAAATGAAAGATTCCCTAAGGTAAAACTGAGCCCGCCAAAATTACACCACCTGCTCTGCGGGCTAAGCAAGGGAGCTATTTGAGACTGATGAACGGCGCATGCATTATTTTCAGTGTCAGTGGATGTACAGATCATTTTGAAGCTGATGAAGAAAGTGCTATGGAAACAACAAGAAGTATTGTTGCAACACTAAATAGAGAGCAGTGGGTTACTTCACCAGGTGCGGTCATTTTACACAATAATATATAGCTGTAGTACATGCAATCAGTCAGTTGGGATGTTGGTCAGCTGATCAGTGAGTCGGTCAGTCGGTCGGTCGGTCAGTCGGTCAGTCGGTCAGTCGGTCAGTCCAGCGAACATTCCAATCTGTCAGTCAAATCATTCAACCATTCCCCTCAGTCAGCGTTTCAGCAAATCAGCCCGGCAATTACTTAGTCAGTTAGGCCGTCATTCAGGCTGTCAGATAGCAGACAGGTAAACTAGTGAATTGTGGAGGCGCGGTGGCCTCGTGGTTAGTGCGCTCGACTCCGGATCGAGTGGTCCGGGTTCGAGCCCCGGCCGGAACATTGTGTTGTGTTCTTAGGAAAGACACTTTACTCTCACAGTGCCTCTCTTCACCCAGGTGTATAAATGGGTACCGGCAATTTAATGCTGGGGGTAACCCTGCGATGGACTAGCATTCCATCCAGGGGGAAGTAGAAATACTCCTAGTCGCTTCATGCTACAGAAACTGGAGTTAAGCACCAGCCTAATGGGCCACTAGGCTCGTAAATAGACTTTTAAGCCAGTGAATTAGCTAGTCACTCAGTCGGGGAGTAACTCAGTCAACTAGCCATCCAGTATATTTAGTCGGCCAGTTG